ATGTTGTGTCCCAGAATCAGAAGTGTGGGATTTGTTACTTATGAAAGAAAAAGACTAACTAAACCGTAAGACCTAGGTACTGAGGACACTGAGGGACTGGGCACTAGGTACTGAGGTACTGGGACTCTTTTCTGTCCCTATCCCTAACACACTTTGAAAGTCACTGCTATTAAACTTTTTAGAGGAATCATTGCTTTCCAAAGGAGTCAGTGCCTTCCAAGTTTAACTTTCTGGTTTAAGATATCCAAGATGTGACTTTGAGAAGTGCTATGCATTAACTAAAAATCTAATTTTCCCCTCTAGTTCCACCTTTGAATTAGTCCTTATTAGTCTTGCATGGATTTTCACCAGCATCCTCTGTGCCACAGTCCTGTTTACTGCTCCTACCCAACACTTACTTATATTGGCAATATGACCTGAAATCTCAGCAGAGCTTGCTCTCCTCTGATCCAAATTGCCAGCAGGTCTCAAAAGTTTTTTCTCACATCTTCCTGTTTCAGAATATGTCCTAATGCTGCTGGCAACAGAACAAGTGAGACTTGGAACTTCCCTTGAGTGCTAATCACAACTTACAGTTGCCTCATTGCAACTTCTCTCACTTCTCTTACATTGCATTTTAATTCCACTGTGTAAAACCTTAGCATGCCTTTCTGTTTCCTTCTGTGGAAGCACACATGCACACTTACACAAAGCCTTATGTCAAAAGAGACTACAGAGTCAATGCTCTGTTAGGCTATGTGGGAATTAGCATTGCTTCTGCAGCTGTAATTTGCCCCCTTTGGTGTGTATATATTGTGATTCAATTTTTAATTATGTGATTCCTTGTTATTTTTCTCTAAGACTTCTTCCATCACCGGTGTATACTGTGCCCTACAGATGAAGCAAGGTGCAGTATTGAAAGAAGCTGTTGTAGAAACTGGAAAGTGCATAGAGAACAAAGAGACCATTGGAAGAAGAATAATGTTCTGCAAGTTAAAGTTGAATGCTACACTTGAGAATTAAATTCCATCCTTTACTTTGCCAAGTAATTCCTATGTGGTTCTAGAAAATTCATGTACAGCTGCAAACTGAAGTCAATGGTTCAGATTTTAATGGTAATATGATCTATAAAATAAAGTGCTTTGTAAAAAGTCTAATCCCAGACATCTCAGCTTGGACACCAAAACAACTTTACCTTAACTGTAGTCTTCCCACATCTCAAGTTTTCACTTATAAAATGCAGAGAATAGCTGTCCCTTCTGGCAGCCAGCAATGTGAAAATAGGGTTGTTTTTTTTAAAAAAATCTTTTACTGAAGTGGTGATGTCATAAAGAGACTGAAGAAATTTTAGTAATTTGCTACTCTGAGCAGAGCTCAAATAGCATGAAGTGATAGGATGGAGATCTGCCATCAAGTAATGAGGATATAGCAAAATACTAAAAAGTTACATGTTTAATGAGTACCACTCACCCTCTGTGAATAGTTTGTGTTCACATCATGACAGACTGTATAATACTGCATGTACAGAAGGGATATTGCATTTGTATGAAAATCCTGAATTCTGTTCTTTCAAAATAAGTGCTTGATTGAAAGTAAAAAAATGGTCTTTCTGTGTGTTGAAGGAGGTGGAGGAAAATTGAGGGTTATACATGAGTCATTCACTTTGTTTTTAACAAAGCATTCTGGAAAAAGAAAGGAATCAAAATTTCATCATGTGGTATCACAGGGCTCATCAGCAGAGTTGCTATAATTAGATCCACAGCTCAGTCCTTTACCACTTGTGCTAATGAAGTGTTTGATAACAGTAGTAGTGAACTGTCAGCTTTTACAGTAACTGACCCTATGGAGGAAGCAGGGGAAGCAGCGTACTTCTTACTTTTTAGTCAGGCTTAACTTCAGCCTGTTGCAAGGGCTTGAGAGCACAGCAGAGCTTCTTTTCTGGTGTCTGACTCACCCCTAACCAGGAGCTGCAGTTGCAGGTAATATCCTACTAAATCTTGGCAGTCCAGCAAGGTAGATAGGCTTGCTCTGGAGGGCTGGCTCCTGCACAGTCCAGTCATGCACTGGGGCTAGCTCACAGGATCACCAGAACTAGCTTTTGCTGATCTTAGACAGCTGTTCAGTCTCTATAGAGCATATTCAAGAGAAGATTCCCAGATTTATATGGGTTTTTATGAAAGAGGAAAAGCCACTTCACAGAGGCAGGCCTTGCCTTATTTTAAGTTGTTGTTCCAAGTCATGCACAGGAGAAATAATTGTATTTGTGCTTAATATGACTCACAGTTCTTCCTAATCTTGATGAGAAATAGCTGAAATACTTTAGCTGAAGTTTTCAAATAAAATACAGCTTGAGACAAAGATTTGGCTTTGAAAACTTCAGCCTAGATAGCCAAGATATAATAAAGCTAGAAAGCAGAAGACAGAATGATATATTGAGTGCTCTTACAAGTGATGGGTACTGTCTGCATTAAGTTACTCCTATCAGAAGGTCAAATTTTGCTGCTGAAATTTTAGGGAACAGCGCTTGTTTTCTAAGGGTTTTTCTGGCTCAGAAGGAAGACCCCACTTCTGCTGCAGCTCTTTGTAGAATTACTTCTGATTTTCTAGGCACTTTTCCTAGTTCAAAAAAAAGGCTGGTGTGTTGAATTGAGAAGCCTGACAAGACTTAACATTTCTGTAAGCATTTACTGTAGCACTAATTCTCTTCTGAATGATGCTCAGCTAGCTGTCCTTGTATTCCTTCCTTCTAGCCATAATCACTCTAAGCTTATTAACAGGCCTCTCTTAAATGGTCAAGTGGGTGGTATTAATGGGCTGGATGGAGAGGTGCATCCATTTAAAACTTAGCTTCACTCTCGTGAGGGTGTTGACAAGTATCTAGCTGCTTAGAAATCCCAATACCCTGCAGTTACCACTGAAAACTGGAGGTTTGCATTAGATAGAGGAATTGTGAAAGCTTTGTAAAAGGTGGAGATTGTGGTTAGAAAATTAAAATTTGTTACTTGCTGCGTGTTCATTTTAGAGCCACACTCTGCCACTTCCAATTCTGCAGCCTGTCTGGACCCATCTTGGCTTACGTCTTGGGCTCTAGTGTTCTAGTGCCTCAAAAGCTACTCTTGTAGAATTTCAGCTGATGCCCCAAATGCTGGATCCAGAAGTTCCATCTGATGCAATGAGAAAGTAAGCAGTGACCTGTCCCAGCCCAGCCTGCTAGGGAGGCGAGGCTAAATAAAAGAAGATGAGTGTGAGTCTGGTGGGAGGAACAAGTCAGAGAAAGCAAACAGTTTGCTGCTTTTAGCTTGCTGGTAGCTTTCATCAGAGCCGGCTGAGGAGAGGGAGGCGGAGAACTGCCTGTGTGAAGGGAAGGAAGTGACAGCGTAGTCATTAACAGGCTGTGACCCTCTGTCACAGGGGCTCCTGAAATAAACGATGATTGTATTGAAGCACGAGGCTGGATAGAGACCTCTGTGCTAATTTAATAAATTGCTTGCATTTAGGACCCCAGATTGTTGCTGTTACATTTTTGCTATGTGATGCCACCTGGGATTAACAAGGAGGAGGGGATGGGGGGAGAAGAAGAAAACAGCCCAGGTCCGTTAGCAACCGCTGGTGTGACCTCACTCCTTGTCCCAGGGGGCATATGAGATCATGAGAATGCCAGAGCTCTCTGAAGGATTCGATTTGTTCGGTACAGCAGGATGGCCTGCCGAGTGATCTCATCTCTGAGACCCTAGGGAAGGGCGCGAGCTGCTGCTAGACTCGTGGACTGCAGAAGACTTAATCCTTGCTCCAAATCTCACCAATTAACGATTGACCTGTGACGACATCACTGATGACAAAGCTAACTGGGACAACACAGCAAAATTCCAGGGGAATTTCCCCTTCTCCATGATCTTATCAAACAAAAGAATTTTGACATGTCAAAACAAAATCTTTCAGTCCAAATAATGTCACTGCAGATTAAGCTTAGTTCTGGGCTCACAGCTTGCGCTGACCTAGTGCCCTGTGACCAGTTCTCCCTTTTGAACTGTGTGGGACAGAACATAAACAGGTCCTCGTTAAGACTGGGGGGCCCTAAATAGATAGCCTTATTTAGCCAGCTTCAGGTGCTTTAAAATAGAAATTCTGTGGTAAGAAAAATCTGTTTCAGTTGTTGCACCTCATGGTTGTAGTAAACCAGGAGGGAGTTTATGTTACCTTGCAGGTGTCCTTCAGGGAAGGAAAGCTTTCTAATTGGAGAAAACACCAGAATGGCAAGGACAGCTTTGATGAAGGTTTACAAAGGATATTGCCAATTCTTTGTATCTCTTTTGAGAGAGAAGTGTTTCAACCATCATGCTTCCCCCCTCCCCACCTTTTCTGCTCTAAGGTCCTCAGGAAGGTTTGGTATCTTTTGAGTGTAAAATGCCTTGAGGGTTTTCTTTTTCAGCGCCAGCCTTTTTATCTGTTTACTGTACAAGAGCCAACACACCTGAGTGGAAGGGGAAGGATGCTGGCAAATAGATAATTAATTTGACTCTTTGGAATTATGTAGAAAGTTGTCAAAAACCCCCATATCACCTTACATTTAATCCCTGTACCTTCAGAAGATGTATAAAATCAAAGAGGCCTACCTTGCATTCCTTTTCTCTTTAGTAATAGTATCTAAAATTTACGTCATACTAGTGCCTGTAAGTCTTAATCTCTGCTGCTAGTGTTCTGTGGCATTGTCCAGATATGCAGTAAGGTGTATATCCGTATCCTGCTCCAAAAGTTCAAGATTCAAAATCATAGAATAGCTGGATAAGTGACAGAGCAAGAGGAATGCTTGAAACAATGAAGTGATGGTTATCCTTTCTAGGCACCGAGTTAATGGCTGCAAAGAAAGCTGCACCTCAGGAATACGGGTCTTTGCACCGTTTAACAGTCCACAGGTGGACAGTGAACACAAGTCTTGTAAGCTTCAAGCCCTGCACCTGTTAAGTGCTCTTATTTTGACTTCCTGACAGTAATCATGTATCACTTCTTTGGTTGTTTTACAGGGAAAGTTTTATCTGGTTATTGAGGAGCTGAGCCAGCTGTTTCGCTCCCTTGTCCCCATCCAACTATGGTATAAATACATCATGGGAGATGATCCATCCAGCAGCTACTTCCTAGGTGGGATCCTGATCATCCTGTATAGCCTCTGCAAGGTGAGTACCACCTCATTAATAACCTCTCTGGGAGCTGTAGCAAGAGCAGAGAAAGAAGCACAGCTGAAGGGAACAAATACACCTTTTGATCGTTGCTATCGCTACCCAGGAAGGGAAGCTGCAGCAGCTGGGGGCACCATGTGCTTTTGTTGCCAAAGGCATTTTGCTTCACCAGCATGTGGGCGTTGGTGAGCTAGAGAAAGATCTGTAACTGCTCATGTAGTGTTGCATCAGGCTTATGAAGTCATTGCTGCTTTCTAATATCTTTCTGTAAAGGCTAGAGGAGAAAGGGAGTGGAGTCTTGGGGGACCAGAACTGGAAGAGATGTTGGTTGTCTCTAGGCTTCTAGATGTAAAGCTGAAAGGAAGGTTGCAGACAGTTAAATGTTTCTCTCTAAGCCTTCCTCTGTCTTTCAAGGCAGGTTAGGTACTCTGTCACTCACAGTACTGAATGCAGCAGGGAGAGAGAGGGTCATCCGAGTCCTGCCTAGGTAAAACAGGTAGTTCCAACCCCATTCTAGGTCCTAGTCTAGCTGATACAGGTCCAGGATCTCAGTGATGGACAAGAGTAATTAATGTTTCATCAAAAATAAGAATGGTCAGAGCGCAAAGTCTGCCTGTACTATTGTAAATGGATAGGTATGACTTATTTAGAAGAGTCCCAAGTCTGAGGTCTAGAAATAGTTGTATTTCTAATTGCATGTTGAACCCTGCCTAGAGGCAGAGCCCTAGCTAAAGCAAACAATGATATACCTGTGTTATCCAACCCTCTGAGAAAGGCCAAGTGAGTCAGGCTTGCTGCAGCCCTGATACTTGTCTCTGCCTAGGAGAAAGGGGCTATGGCTTTGCAAAAGCAGACTGAAGAACAGAGAAGAAAAGAATATATCCAACCTGAAAACAGCTCAAAGGGGCTAATGGATTGCTGAGCAATACTAAATAATGCTATAGCTCTGTGTGAGCTGTGGCTGCAGTTGCAGCTATATGCTGTGTAGAATGAGGCAATGCAACCCCTGCTGCCAAGGAATGTACCGGTTTTGTAAGCACAACAGGCAGAGGAGGTCATGGGAAGTGAAGTGACTTGATCACAGCAGGTTTGTGATCAAGCCAGAAACGGAGCAACCAGTGCTAGAATAGAAGGCACATGAGACCGGTGTCATGCCCTGCACAGCCATCCATTCTTTCAGCTCTTTGTTTCCTGCTCTTCACTCCGTGCTGTGGGAGAGGGTTGTTGCCCCTTCCAGAGGTGTCACGGCCTGGATCTGCTCTAGACAGCAGTGTCCAAGCCTTCCACACCCTTCTGACTTGGCAGGTATACAGATCACAATTTCAGGGACAGATTTCAAGTGATTTTTCTGGTGTCCCTTCTTGCAAAAGTTGCTCAACACCTGGAAAAGGGATGCTTGCCTGCAGCTCTACATGCCATTTCTTACATCTGGAGAAGTCCTCATATCATGAAGAAGCAATGGGGGCCATCTGCTCCTTGGATGAAGGGTAACCAAGCACAAAAACACAACTGGAAGAGCAAGAGCCTCACCAGCCAGGGCCCAGCCCTTGCAGCACCCAGACAGGGCAAGCAGCACAGGTCTGGAGGTGATAGCCAGGTTCAAAGAGTCCAGATCTTCAGGTGGGGATGCAGGTCCAAGACAAAGCCAGAACATCAATCCACAGAACAGGATCAGTCTGGTGAAGGCAGCCAGAGTCAGACACAGCCCAGCAATTGCAGGGCACAGCCATAGTCATGAGACAGGCTCAAGGTGAGGGTGGGAACTCACTCCATGCACTGGGGTGTGCAGATCAGTGGAGTCTGTAGTGAGGCACAGGCATGGCTGTGACTGAACTGGAACCCAATACTTGCATAGCACAGCTCAGACATGAACTGAGGCCTCCAGAGCTGAGCTAATATATTGCTCTTGGGCCCATGGGCAGGGACTGTGGGTGGAGACTCCCGCTGAGGCTCCTTGGGGCCATGAAGGCCTATTCATGCACTCAGGGCCCTGACACATGGCAGACAGTTCTTTCTGGGTTACCTTGATGTTTCTGTACTATGAAGCCTTTATAGGTAGTGATGTCATGATCTAGATTGGAAAAGCAACCTAATTTTGAAAAGGTCTGCTGATCTGTTATTTAGAAGGTCCATGAGGAGAGGACAGCTATTTACCAGCCTTGACTATAACTTAGGACCAGGACTGTGGGGCACACTTTTGTGAAGGTGCCTTGGCTACAGCCTGTGCCTTTGCTGTGCATATTTCTTCCTTTAATGCATCCAGTTCATCAGAGATGTAAATGGAGGGATAGGCCAGCTGAAGGGTGATAGGTCCAGGAACATGTCCCAGGTCATTGTGTGGCAACTACTTAGTACCACGGATGTGTCCAGGTTAGGATTAGACCTCTGCACTCCAGAGACTTTTCATGGAAGTGTAAGAAAAGTGGGAGCACACTCTTCCAATACAGATCGTGAAATACTAGGTACGTGCATCCCATTTACAATCACAAGAGTTGCAGGTCTAATTCCTTGCCTGAGACACTGAAAATATACCCAAAGGAGTCCACATTAGCAAAGCCACAAACCACATTAGAAAAACCACAGAAGCCAATTTGGCACTCAGACCTTCTGTGCTCCTGGCAAAAATCCAGGGCTCAGCTAGGGCTGCATCCCCTTCCCTACACAAAGGGCAGGCTCGACTTTCAGAAGGTTGTATGTAGTGCAGCTGATAGGAGCTGTCTTGGTGTCTCTGTCTGGACTGTGTAAACATGAACCTCTGATTTTGGTGAAAAAATCCCAGATGTGCATCAGTAAGGGCATCCAGGTCTTTATTTTTCCCCTGTCCTGAACAGAAGCATCCACTGTCTGTGAACCCAATTGTTGCAATCATACTGCTGGAGAGATGACTGATGCAACATAGGCTTCAGTGCATGGGTGATAAATGGATGTTAAACTACTGAAACATGAATCTTTTGGGGGTACAGGAAGCTGCAGAGGAAAAAAAAACCTGAAGGGGGAAATGGACTGAGAGGAGACATCAGAGCCAGGGCAAAGTCATTAGAAATAATGCTATAGTCAAAGCAACCAGAAAAAGCTGTGAATTGGACTGTGAAAAAGAACTGATCACTATCCTTGTTAGAAGATTAAAAAGTCTGTAGTAGTCGGCAGCCTCAAGTGCTGGTTGCTGACTGGAAGCATTACTGGAAGGACCCTGGGAGCCTTTTACGTGCTGACTGGAAGCATTACGGGTGCCTTCATTTGATTCCACCTCTACTGCATGATGATCTCATTGGCATTCCCTGCAGTGAGCCCACTTAATCATGCTAACCAAAAAAAAATAGAAAGCCAACTCCGGGCATTCTGGTGTCTTTGTACTGCTAGTCCGCTACAGCTCTGCATATTCTGCATCACATCTGCCCCTGCCCTCCTAGCTGCTCACTCACTCAGACACGGGGTAGAAATAGGAAGGTCCTGTTATGTCATCTGGCCCTTCTCCCAGCTAATGCAGGGCTGTTCTTTGCACAATCATTTCTTCATACCTTGTGTAGTTTACAGTGTCTTTTTCTCTGTGTTCTGCCGGCAGATAGGGAAGATGAAGCTGGCATACTGGATTAGGTTTTCAAGTTGCTTTCCCTCCTATTACTAGTACCCTGACTTCACTTTAAGAACACTGACTGTCTCCTCTCTTGCTCGGCCCCTTGATATTTGTAGGCAGTTTATCATCTTTTCCCCCCACTTTTGTACTGCTCAGCCAAGCTGTAAATATTTATGTCTTTTAGTCTCTTTTCAGAAATCATTTTCTGCAGGCTCATTTTCTGCTCTTCTCTGAACTGCTTTTAGTCTTTAATGAGGAGCCCAGAATGAGTGCTGCTCTCCAGATGCAGTTACATCATGTTTGCTGGGCAATGGAGGGAGGGGGGAAGAGAAGGACCTGGCGTTGCCCCTGCTGTTGGCCATCTTTGGGTGTCTGAAAAGTACCAAGGTGCTGGAAACTTGCTGCCTTCCTGGCATTTGAAGTTTCTCACATTTTAGGTGGATGGGAGCAACTCAGCCTCAGTCCTGCTTCTCATTCTTCAGGCCATTCTTCTCTTGGTAGCATTTAATCACTGCACTCCGCTAAATCACTCTCCACAGCAGGACAGGCAATTCCCACTCCTTTCATAATGTCATCTGGGCCCTGAAGTGTCAAGCAGTGTGGCAGAACCACACAGCCCTGGAAATCCCCTTTTTCCCCAGAGGCTGAGGAAAGCTGTTTTCTGCCTCTTCCATGTGAAAAGACTGCCCTTCCTTCCCTCTTTCTGAAGCGAGCCACAGTGTTTTCTAGCCTTACTTCTGGGCTTTTCAGACACTCCGTTCTCAGGGTGGGAATGGGTCCGTTTTAGCCCTTTCCTACTTAGTGTGGCTGGGCAATTTACCCTCATGCAACCCCCTGATGTCTGCTTCTCTTTCTGTCCTGTAAAGACCCTGATTTGCAGTCCATTGTTACCAGAGCTTTTTTGGCTACCCTTCTCCACTGTCAATTCACATTTATTACGTACTTGATGATCACCATGAAATCTTTTTGGCACCATTGATACTTAGGATCTTTGTACCCTCTGAGTATCCATTTGGACACACTGTTTCCTGATTTTCTGGGCTGTATGCACACACACGCACACACACACCTTTTGTGAAAAGTACCTAAACCAGAATGTCTTTATTGCAGTCTTTTGACATCTGTGGTCGTGTGGGAAGCGTCCGGAAGGCACTGAAGGTCCTTTGCACCCCACAGGTGAGTAGTCATACCTATTAGAGCAGTTTCATAGGTGGAACCTTGTTACTGTTGAATGATGGAGTTCAAAATTGCTCAATGTATCATGATCATAGAATAAAATAATTTGTTGCCTCATGACTGGATAAGCTGGTATCTCTTGTCAGGGATGTTAGGAACCTTTTGTGCTATCTGCCCCGTCCCAGCTGTGGTAAGAAATTGTTGCTAGTCTGGCCTGTTTTGTCTGATTGGAAACCTTGTGTCATATGGATTAATCCACTGAGGCCAAAACTGCAAGAAGGTGGCAAAACTTTGGTGCAGAGTGTGAGAAAGACTTTAAATAGAAGTATGTAGTGCTTGATGTGCAGTGACATTAAGAGATCCTACAGTGCCCAGAAATTATCCCAGACATTGCATTATACAGTGCTGATATTTAGATCTGTTGCACTGAAATACTGTGACTTATATTTTAAAATGGTAAAATCAAAGACTGTAAAGGAAAGGAACATAATATCATAGAAGTTTGTTAGAGCTTGCCTTGCTTATTCTGCAGGCTTGGGCTGGTCATTTTTCCTCAGCATGTTTCCATTTCCCCTATCACTGTTACAATAGGAGAAGCAACATTTACCTTCCACATATTTAAAAAGAAAAGTGGGAAGCCTGTGGGTGCTGCTGCTGTTATTCTTTCTTCTATTGTCTAGCTTGCTAATAATGATACCTCCCACTATCTAAACACCTCTGCAAATGATGCTGAATTAATCCTTTCAGCTCCCTGTTGAGCTCATTAAATTTCATTATCATTGCTCCACAAGTGGAGGCACTAAAGATGGAGTCAGCTCGAGGGGAAAACAAAACAGAGAACACAGAGGTCCAGACTCCCTCTGTTCTGTGTGCTGGTGCCCAAATCTCCCTTCCCCATACACAGCGACATAACACCAGTGTCCTTCCCAGGCCATACAGGGAATCTGCCTGTGAAAAACAGTGTCTTATGTATATGCTTAGCCACACACCGGATGATCTTCAAACCCTTTGATGTTGGGATTTTTTTCCACCTCTCTCTAACAGACCTATGGAGTTCGTGCTACCAGCCAGCAGTGCAGTGAGGCAGGTGACATCTGTGCCATTTGCCAAGCAGAATTCAGGGAACCTTTGATCCTTATGTGCCAGGTAAGACCCCAAGCTTCCCACGTCAGGCTCCTCCATTGGCATTCATTCGCTTAACGTCTGCAGCTTGGGAGGGGCATGGTTAGCCTAAGTACTTCTGAAATCATTTGCTGGGTCTTGATCTAGGTCCTAGTGAATATTTATTGCCCTCTTTCAGATAGCCAGTGATTCATGGTAGCTGAACCACTCTTTAGGGGCCAATCATAGCTACTGAGATGGAAAAGACCAGCCTTGTAGATCAGGGACTGCCAGTTGGCAGTCCAGATCTTGGATCCAGAATGCAAGACATTTTAATCTGACCCTTGGGAGACTGGCTGGTCAACAGGCCAACCAAATGTCAAGCAAGTGCTGTGAGTGGGGCAGCGATCCAGAATGGGCCCGATAGGGTGCTGCAAGGCTGGTGCAGCACCGTGTAATCGCGGTCCGGCTCCTGAACACCTGGCCAGGAGTGAAAGTCATTCTGCATAGCAAAGTTGGTCACCACTGCCAGTAACGGAGAATTATCCTGCTTCTCATTTGGTAAACACTGGCAAAACCTAGAGCTTAAGAACAGCGTGCTCTGAGCAACGCAAGAGCCCTAATCTGGTGCGGGTAAAACCCTTCGAACACAGCACGCTACCATGGGTTCTGTTAATGTCTCAGAGGCCAGCTGAAGTCATTGCCTCCTGGCCAGACTGGTGATGCTTCCCCAAGATCTTCTTCTCCGTTGCTTGTAACTCAGACAAGCTCTGTCTGTTGAGATGGAAATTCTGCCTCCTGGAGGCTGTCTCTGGCTGATGTGTGGGTGTGTGCAGGAAAACTGTAGGCAGAGTGATTCAGCCATTTCTGGGAATGGACTTGGTGGGATATATGATCTCTTGTGATACCAAAATAAAGCTCAAGAGTCTTTTTCTGAAGAGCTTTAACATTGCCGTGCTTTGTCACAGGGTTATCAAACTAAAGCAAGTAGATCCCCTGAGCATCAAATGTGCTATTCCTGTGAATGCTGTGCAGCTGTTATCAAGCTGCAAGCCCCAGAGAAGCTGTCTTTGTATGTGCTTATCAGAGTCAAGATTTTGATGAGTAACATTTCTGCTGACTCTGCATGTTGAGGAGGTCTTGGCTTCTTACAGCTTCCAATACTCCCTCTTGCCCTGTTCCTGCTCTTCCAGGTTGGGGTAGGTGAGGCTGTGTGCTGGAGAGCCATCCCTCCTGATCCCTGTACCAAAGCGTGCAAGTTTTAATCATTGCTGAGATCAGGGACCACGTGGCCGTTGCCCCTCCCCAACCCGCGCCGGTCGGGCTGGAAGTTAGACACAGACCCCGGCTAAAATAACAAGAAATTTAATACAACACAGTGATAGAACAATCTGAACAACAACAGTATCAATGGTAACAACAATAAACAGCAATAACAGTGAACAAGACAAACAATATACAGAGAAATACCGCTAGCTGGTCTACGGAAAGCAAAATTCCCTCCCGAACCCACCAAGGAGCAAGGAAGAGGTTTCCGCCCCTGGACCTGACATCAGCATGGTATGAATAACCCGGCTGGAGATCCCTTCCCCCTCTCTCTCTTCTGGGGAAAAATTTACTCTATCCTGGCTGAACCAGGACACCAAGGCAGGCTGGAGGGAGAATCCTGTTGAGGCTCAGTGTAGGGGTGAAAGGAGAGGACCAGGGGTGAAAACTGACATTTATAGAGGAGAAACTGGGATTACAAAGCTCCTGACTAGGACTGGGTGGTGTGAACGGAAAAAAACAAATGCAACAGGGAGTCGGGGAAAGAAATGAGGTTGTTCGGGCTAAGTAAAGACTTGTAAAATAACCAGGGAACTGAGGATGGAAGGAGGTTAGAGAAAACCCTCGCAGTGTCCTAGACCTTTTTTAATGTTTCTTTCTATTACTATATTAAGAAACAGAGTAATGTATCATTAGCTTTGGCAAACCGATGTTAAAGCTGGGATTTATTTTTCATATCACATGAGTACTGCTCATTAGCTGCACTGCCCACCTGAACTTGAGTTGTTCCTTTTTGCCATCCCTGTCCTGTTGAGCGTGCACACTTAGTGACAAGACTGGGCCTCTGCCCTCACCATCATGATCCTCTTTTGTCTCCACAGCATGTGTTTTGTGAAGAATGCCTCTGCCTCTGGTTTGACAGGGAGAAGACCTGTCCTCTGTGTCGTTCTGTCACAGTAGAAACCCTGCGTTGCTGGAAAGATGGCACCACCTCTGCTCATTTCCAGGTGTATTAAAACAAACACATACCGACAGATGGAGTAAATGTCCAGAGAGCAGAAGCTGGAAAACCCTGTGATCCCATACCCCTGTTTAGTTGCCTGTGGATTTTTTGTCTTAGTCTTTCTTCCAGCTCTGTTTCTCCAAGAGCCAAAAGAACAATTGTTACTAGCCAGAAACTTTATCTTCAAAGGCAAGGAAGATGTGTTTTATGTTATGGCAAACCCCATGGCTAAGCTACAGCCAAGATTTTTTCTTGAACTTACATGGTTATAAACTGCTTGGGATGTTTCCCTTTTTTCTGTCCTTTTAGTATAGTTAAATATTGTGTGTATCAGGCAAGCGTACTGTGAACTGCATGTGTATAACCTGGTGTACTGGAAAAAAGCTGTCCTCCTCTGGCTCAGACCGCTGGTGAGATCTTCCACATTAAATGGCACTAGCTTCCCTGAATCTGTAACTTCACAGCATTACAGTGTTCTGTTATATTACCTTTGAGAACTCCAAAACAGTGCTTCAGAACCTCATGCCCAAAGTTTATTTGCAGTTGGAGAAACATAATTTCCCAGCACCTGTGTTTTTGCGATTGATTCCACAAATTGTGTTGTCTTATTAATAAAATCTCAAGGAACTCGGGAAAGACTCTGCTAATGAAGGTGGAAATAACACTTGCTTTTCTTGGGAATGTGTTTCCTCTTTAATTTTCACAATCAAACTTTGTGATTTCCTAGGGTATGGGGACAGCGGAAGGCCGGGAGATGTTAAAGTCAAGTTTGATTTGTCTAGGTGAAAAGTTGAGGTCCTAACCAAGAATATCTCACAAATTCAGGTACTCTGCAATGTGCTCCCCAGTGCAGCCGCTTGAGGCAAGGCTTGCTGGCCTTAAAACCAGCACCACTCAGCATCCAGAGCCTGCCCCAGGAGCACTGAGCCGGTTCAGCACCACCGACACCAGACACAGCCCTGGGACAGCAGGGTTGGGCCAGAGCTACCAGCTTGAAGGCAGAATCGTGCAGAAGCAGCTGCGCTGCTGCGGGAGCTGCCTAGGTTACACACAGCTGGCTAATCCACGCGTGATGGTGAGGACTGGATTGTAACACCTCTGCTTCAGGAAAAGCCCTTCGAGGAGGTTCCTTCTGTTGTTAATGGAGGAATTAACATACTTCATACTGCTGCAATTTCCTCTCTGCTGAGGGTGCTGCAGGGGCACTTGCGTGTGAGTGGCGTTGCTGTTTGTTTGCGGATATTGTTTTCTTACTAAACAACCTCTGCTTTTTGCTGCACGCCCAGAGAAAGTGCCTCATTAGGCAACTGTGGCATCTTCCACGCTCATTACTATGGAAATGGCCATAAGGTTACCATCCCACTTGAGCGGAAAATCAGGAAGAACTGTACCTGGGGGAAATGAGCCTGTGTGTATGTACTGACTGCTGCCTTCCCCTCTTGCTGGGAAACTCCACAGGGAGAAGAATTAAAGTAAACAGGAGCTAATGGGAACAGCATTAAGGTTCAACGTTTCTTTGGGATAATAGTTCAGTATGGCTAGAGGAGAAATGATGAGAGGCAGAGCCTGAGCAGGAAGATCATCCAAATCTGGCTTGGGAGATACCGGGAAGTAGAGGAGGAAAAGCTTTACTTTCCCAAACAAAGTGATTTGATTCCTGTCAAATGAATCCCATGGAAGTAGAGAACTAAGCCAAGGAATCCAGTGGCTATCTCCAATGGGAGATGGTGGCCTTTTGGGGATGGGGGAAGAGAGTTCAGTAAGGAAGGGAGCCAGGTTTTCAGTGAGCATAAAGATATTGTTATGTATGACAGTCTGGTGTATTCACCAGGAAAAGGGAAAATTACTGATTCTGTAGGAAGGCAATTTCTGAAAGGTTTCAGCATCAGTTTTCAGTGCAGTGCCAATTAATTAAAAGGTTGGTGATACCTGCTTTCAAAATGTTTGAAAAGCCACTTCTGATTTTTTTTCTACACGGTCCTGGAAAATGTGTTTGGAGAAGTGTATGAAAAGGTCAATATGAGCCTAACACTACAGATAGCACCTGGTACACTGTTTCAAAATTACTTTTTTTTATTTGGAGATAAGGAAGGAAGGCAATCAGAGCAAAACTACAGGGAATATTTTTTGCCATTCTTATAGTCCTTTTTCTTTATTTTTTCTTTATTAAATGATCTTCCCCAGTTGTCAGTGTAAGAGAGGGGACTCATCATCATATACTTGAAACACCTTGCTGAAGCCCAAGGACTGGGAAGGATGACAGGGCAAGGCCCCATAGCAGCACCCAGTAAAACTGCCATGGACCTTGGGTGCTTCTGGTACCCGTGTAAGAACACCTGCGCCAGCATCAGAATTTTCTAAAGAACTCACGATGATTCATTTTTCTTTTGCTTCATCTCAAGTGATTCCTTCTTGATTTTTGCTTTCCCTCCCTATTCCAAGGCAGCACTCAGGTCGCTCTGTAGAAGCCTGGCTGCTCGGGTGTTGTGCTGCCGAGGCATCCACCCGCTGTATTCTTAGTCTCAGCAGAGCTCCGGGGAGACTGCTGTCTGCGTGGCCCCCAAGACAGCAGTTCTGCTGCTGTTCAGCTGCCCCGATCCCTTACGGGAGGGCCTGTGGCGAGGGCACAGCCCTGGACCTGTGATGTGGCGGGCATCCACCCATCAACTGGTGCTAAACAGAGGGTGAAATGTTATGCTGTGGATATTTATTCTCCTGGAAGCATAACAAAGATCATCTTAATCCTGCAAGATACAGGATTTACTACAGGTCACGATTATATAGCTGTTAAATTAAACCAACATCCTTCAGTGCCTGTTCTCTGGCCTGGACGTGGTGGAAGGGCGAGCTCTGTGCTGTTGGTGGTCTGTCAGACCCTCCCTCCTCGGGTAGGTTGTGGTGGTGGTTTGGTGATGCCTCTCCTAGAACATGGCATTTGGACCACAAAACATGCAGGGGAAACTACAATTCTGGTGACAACTGATGAGAAACTTCATGGATTTCCATGGGAAAACAAGGGTTGTGGGAAGAAATTACTCTCATTTCAGAGAGGAAATAAAAACTGGAGCTTTTTTTTGCCACTGAACAGTTTTTTTTTTTTTATTAAAGTCATTATAAATATGTACAAAGAGTCTCAGCGTATGAAAATCCTTTTACAAAAGAGAGAAGCCACATCCAACCTTATACAGGAGCCTTCATGACCTCCTATCAGCAGTGAGCAAATGCTTTGCTCTTGCTTTGGTGAGGGTGGAAACTTGCACAGTGACTCTGCAAGAGTTTACATCCAAAGAGCACCAAGTGACATGCAAGGAATTGTGTATTCACTGCATTTCATCTGGTTTATTCTGCTAGCAATCTGGGAGCAGGCTGGGAAATAACATCTGAAGGACTAAAGATGGGAGATTTTTTCTTGTGATAAACTGTGGTCTTCAGATGGGCTGGAAAGGTTATGCTGTGAATGCCCATGGAAACTAAATCCCATTATACCTCTATTCAGGTGGCATCTGTAACTAATACTGGATGGAACTAATAATGGCAGTTCAACACCCAGATGCTTTCAGTGAATATTTGAATATTCCAAAGTCACTTTCTGTAAGTATTAAAAAACTTGTGAAATTCTGTTACTCAAGTATTCATGCAGAGTGAACACTGAAGTCTGATCAGAGTTACATGAAAATTCACTCTTGTATTCAAATAAATATTGTCAGGAAAAAAATATTCACTTTTTTTGAGTTTTAAATTTCCCTTGCAGATGGGAAACAGAAATTCTGCAGCTTTGACTAGAGCAGTCAGCTTTCTCCCACAGCTGCCGAGGGCAGAGCCGCAGTCGGGAGGACCCGCGTGTGGGAGCGTGTTGGGGCCTCTGGAGGCTCTTGTTCGGCAGACGGCGCGTGGTTCAACCAGGAGTGGCAGAGGGAGCAGCAGGCGAGCGCCCGAGGCAGGGACAGGGATACAGCTGTGCTGTGAGCAAAGAGCCTCCGGGTGAGGAGGGCTTGGCAGCCAGGCCAGGCTGGAACGGGAAAACCCAGGTAAGGGCAGCACGTGGGGATTGTTCCTCTCCGCCACGCAGACTGCCCGATAATCTGGTGTTTTCCTAAGGAAGATCAAGCCCCTTGTTGCTCAGACCTCCCTAGGCATGCGGATTTTGAATGAACATGGCCAGTGTCTCCTGACTGTGCTGAGAGAGATGAACACGTTCAGCATAGCGTACAGCAAGCAGTGCCTTGCCAAGTGTTATACAAGAATGAGGCCGATTTTGAAGCTGGGATTCAAAATCAAATTTGCACTAAGCAAGTGTACCCTAAGAAAAGTTGTGAAGATACTGCTCCCCTGTTGTGGAGGTAGAATATAGCCAGGAGGTTTTGACATGGACAAAAAATGGGGGGTCCAGGATTTAATTTAGAGCCACAGGTAGTCTGTTTTATCTCTCAGACTTCTGCCAACGTCATGGACAGGTGTTTTAAAACCATTTGTAGGAAGATTAACTATTGAGGTAGATGTACTATTCTGTCCTCATCACCATTTTGCACACGGTAGTGCATTTTTTCAGAAGATCTTCACTTTTGTTTCCCTATTCTCCACTGCTCCCCCCCTCAGTGAGTTCTCCTCTGCCTGCCCAGTCCACCAGGGCTACGGCGACAGCAGCATTTAACCCAACTGTCTGGTGTCATGAGGCAGCAGAGAGAAGTGCCATGTTCCACCCCCTACATGGACATGGAAACTGCACCAGTTTAACTGAATCTGTAATCTCTTTCACTCAAAGGTTCTGTTCCTGCTTCTGCAGTGGATTTAAGACCCTTAAGATTTTAAAGCATGATATGGAAACAAAGCAAATTCACAAATCAGATTACACTGATTTAACAAGTGTTTCTGATCTAAGTAAATTGCTTTAGTAATGGGCTTTGCTAAATGAGGGTAATTTCTGCATGCCTACATGCTCGAAACCAGAAGTGTGATGGGTTTCTCATTCCTCACCACTGGCAACGCACTGATTTTGGTGATTTGCTGTAAGTTTTTATTGGGTGATGCCTCTCCTGGTGTGTATGACAGGAGGCCTGGTCCCATTCCATTTTTTTTTTTTACCTACTGAAAATTAAGACTGAAGAAGAAGGAATCTGGAATTAATGGGCTAAATTCTGTCCTGGGTGTAACCCAGCTGTCTGCAAGCAGACAGCAGTGCTATCCTAGAATTGATTTGGCCAAAGGACTTATTTTAACAAGCAAGGGGAGAGAAGCTGATTAGTAGTCCACACTAGACTGCTTTTTTAACTTGAAATATGAAGTTTCAATATGTGATGGGAGCTATCTTGGTGGAGTGCTGCTTTAAAAATTAATAAAGACTTTCCTCACAGCCACATTATGCGGCGTTCTATATAGACTATGATCTCATAACCTCCTCCTCTGGCTTGCACACGCACCGTCTGCTGAAACCTAAGATGAGGTCTTTTTTTTTCATTTAGAGAGCACTACCCAGCCTTCACAGAGGCGCAACTGCGAAGCTAATCAAAATCAATGACTTCTTGGCTGCTGTAAAAAAAAAAAAAAAAACAAACAAAAAAACCCAAAACAAACAAACACCAGAGGAGCAAGAGAGAGGAACTGTGCTGGTTTCCTACCCATTAGTACGGTACAGAACCCCCCCACCATCTCACACAGCTGTTGCAATACATTAAGAACAGCACTAGGGGAGTATGCAGCATGCTTTCTTTTCCAATACAAACATCAACCAGGGTTAAATGAGATATTTTAAAAAGGATAAAAACACCCCTTGTCAAAAACTGGAGGCATTCAAGAATAGCAATTATACCAGAAAATGTAAGGCTTTAACAAATACATACCCTCTAGTAATTCAATTTATGTACAGTGAATGCTGGCTGTAAAGTCCTGGGAAGCTGTTTCTCTAGCAAAACTTGCTTGACCCAGCAACTAATAGATGAAAGTCTCCAAAACTTAACCCTCTTTCACACTAAACATCCAATTTAGAAGTACAAAAGTGAAGCAAATCAGGATTAAAGCAGGTTTTGGGGTACTAGACCTGCTCTTGTTCACACTTGGGAAGCATCGTAAATTTGGTTGTTGTTTGACGAGAATAACAGGCAGCACGTGTCTTCTACTGTTTTTTGCTGAATGTTGGGAACCACCAAGGAGGAAACTGCTCCCCTGGGAGTTCTGGGGTTTTGGTTTTTTTTACAGAAAAGCCTGCCCATGGAGGGTTAGGACTGAGGGATATTAGCCAATCATGCTGCTGCTGAGGTTGATCATTGATTCAGAGGGCTTTCCCAAGGTGAGGATGCTATGGTAAGGACAGAACTTTCTTTCCCTTGGCTGTGCTGTCACGTTTCAGGGGAATTGCTTCTTTGGGAAAAATGCTGCAAGAAGTCTCAAGGCTGCAGCCCCAAAGAGCCAGTGTGGCAGGAAGAGCAATGGCAGTGCAGACTGTATGCACAGAAGATGCAGGGGAAAATGGACTAATGCACATTCCAGGTGAGAAGTTTATTAAACATTCAGAGCTCAGGAGCTAGTAATTGTTAACAGTGAGGAATATGCAGGAGAGCCCTCTCTCTGGCACTGAGAAATGAAAGCCAGCTCCCATGCCGGATGGGCCGGCCGGGGGGGACACACACAGGGTGAGGAAAGGTGGCAGAGGGAAGACCTCCTGCAGGCTGTGTGTCCCCTACAGCAAAGCATCCAGTGTTCCCAATCAATTATTTTCTGTTCATCTCTGACTTGTGCAATACCGTGCACACAATTTCACTTCCTCATTTGAGGGATTTGCAGAAAGTTGTATCTTTTAAGACTGTGCCCGATCCAGCAGTCCCTAACCCAGCACTTGCCACACTGCTGAAATCAGCTGAAGCTCCTCCTTTTGCTAGAAGAATTCTTATTTATTTCAGCAGGAGACTGAGCCGGGAAGGAATACAGGATGCCGAGTACTACTGAGCATCAGGCCAAAAATGGTAGAAAAATGTTTTATTGGTCCCTGTGGCTCTGAGAGCATCCACACTCTACCAACAGACAAACTACACTTAGCTACATGATCCCTCCCAACACTGCACACAATATAAAGTAGGGCAAGGTTATTCATTAGGAACAATTTGCTCTTTCAGCACAGCCCTTTCTGCTGTTTGTGAATTGACTTGGATCAATAATACCTGCAAATATGTGTGCAGGGGCCCAAAACACATCGGTGAATATTTGATAAAGGGAGAATGTAGCTTTTAGAATGCTTAGAAACACTTTGCCTGCAGTCATGAAAAATGGCAGGTTTGACTGGGACACAGTGGCCACTCGGCTTGTTCCTGGACTGGGTGAGGGTTAGGAAGTATTTTTAAAAGACAAGGAGCCAAATTTATGTTGGAAATTGGGTTCTTAACATTCCTTCATCCCTTTAAAAATTCTCCCCTGTCACAGAGCATCAATTTTCTGGTGTAAATATCTGAAGCTGGGAAAAATGTTTCTCAAAAAATGTGCGTAACGATAAATGTAAATAGCATCTGGAAGGTATCCTGAATCTGACAGGTAGTTTTGGCTGCAAGAAAAAAAGTGCTCAGTACTAGACTGAAAAAAGCCCTTTGACTTCTTGGGACAAGTTCTCCTGTTATCCCCTAGTCTATTGATTAGTCTTGATGTAGTTCTCTTCCCTGGTTCACAGGGTTTGAGACTACTTAAATCACCCCCCGGGAGAGTACCCAGCTCTGGAGCCGTGGGAGATTCTGCACTAGCATACTCTGACATGTACACTGCAGTGAAAAGAGCTGGCGTGTCTTTGCCACCTCAGTGAACGCTGCTTCCCAAGCTCTGAACCCTCAAAAGAAAAAGAAATGCCCAAAGAAAATTAGTTTTATAAAGTTCTGGGTTAGATTATTTGTTTTGTCTTAATTTCTGCAGAGTTTGAAAGAAAGAAAAAAAATAGCACCTTCTCAACAAGTATTTTTTTTTTGCTATCTTGTGTATAAATATTAATAACCAAAATAGATTTCTCCTCGTCCCATGTTTCAGAACATTCTCTTGGGGAAACTGTAGCACCACAGAGAGGCAGTTTAGCCCCAGACAAATATTAAATGTAGCACCAGAGAAACTAAAGTCATAAGAAAAGCTTATCTCACCTGGTGCTATAGCGCTTAATATATACACACACAAACTCTGTCGTCCGAGCTGCTAAGCACCTGTTTGTTCCCCCCCACCATGGCTAGGACATGCCCATTTTGCAGCGTTTGGTCTCTCGAGATATTACTTAACTCTGGATGTACAGATTATTTTTCATCCTGCTGCATTGAAAGGAACGTTTCTGTTGCCATAAACAAGGTGCAGTGGAGAAAATGCTCGCGTTACAGCAAGGACTTACTAATCTTTTGACTCGGACTGCAGGAGCATGAATGCTCAGACCACCATCATCTACAAGGAATGTTGCTTACGTTCTCAACAAGGCATGCACGTTTTAACGTATGCATACAGGAGGGTTTACATTCTTCTATATATAAGCATGTAAGTGTCTCTGTTTTGCTGCTGGGCCCTTGAACAGCTCCTTCCGTGCAAATCCTTCTTCACGTTGCCCAAAGCACTTCCAACATCTTCCACTTCTTTCTTTATCTCCACTCTTCACAGCTGCTGCTCAGGCTCTGGATTCCCTGGAGGAAAAGGGGAAACAATTTTCTCCAAGGGCACAGGGTTTTCTCCAGCCTAAGAAAGCAAAAGAATTGTGTTTGGTTTTAATTATATTGATGCATTGGTTACAATAAAAGCTTCTTTTAAATTTATGCTTGAACCCTCCTGCTAAATTTACTGACAAGAAGGGGTATATAATTTATGGGGAGGATGGTTTTGTGGTTCAACACAAGAGATTATGCCTTTATCCCTGTGCTGCTACAGGATTTCTGGTGAGCTCTCATTTTGCGGGGCTCATTCTTTTGGGTGCTCCATCTTCATTTACATCACGTTAACAAAAATGCTAACTTTTAGGGAAGCCATTAATTTTGTTTCAGGTAGGCAATGGGGTGCATTGAGTATCACGGGAGACTGGAAGAACTCGCTCATTCCTAGTTCTGCCACTGATTAGATTTGTGGCCCTGGGCAAACCACTTCTTTCAGTCGCTGCTGTAAAATGAGGGCAGTAATAACTTATTTGCCTCAGAGGTGGGCTGCAAGCCTTAATTAATAAAGTGCTCAGAGAAAGGCACCTATCTAAGTGCAAATTAGCAGGAGAGGTGCCCAAGGGGCATCTACTATGAAATTCCCATTTCCCACATTTATACCTAGGTTTGTTGATACCAGCGTTTGCTGGGATAGATCCCATCTTTCAGACTGCGTTGTCTAGTTTGCAGAGACTGTGACAATGAGTGATCTTATAAAAACCTCAGTGGAGAAATCTCTGCTGGCCTTCTGGATGAGGTGATTTCACCCGGGTGGGAGAAAGGAGGGGGGAGTAGCTGACTATGCAACCGCATCAGCTATGAAGTCAGAGTGTAATTAGGGTTGGCAAACAGCTTTGGGGCAGATTCTGGTCGGCATTACTCCGGTGTAAACCCAGAATCGTTTCCCTTCCTTCTGTAGCACTGCCCTGGTTAGGCCAGCGTGAAGGTTATCAAAACTCAACGCTAAGACGGACTCTGAGTAACCTAGAACGTCTCTGAGCCTCAAAAGATTTAACCATGTCTGCTTTAACCCGGTTACCATCAGCTGCCCAGGCTGCCGCTGCGCACAGGATGTGGCAATTAGAAACTCTCCCTCCCTCAGTTTACAGTCTTGCTTTCTAGTTTGGAGGAATCTGAAGCAACAGTGAAGATAGCTTGAAGGACTTAAGCCAGAATGAATCGTCTAGACTCAAAGCACAGTTTCATTTGTCTCACTGTGATCAAGGCTAGCAGCTAGCCACACAGTTTCTGTGGCTTCTGTAGCTGCATGCATGCGGACTTCCGCATGCTCACCTGCTCTCTGGAAGTACTGGAGGTATTGAAAATGTTTTTTTGCAGAGCTACTTCGCTTTTTGGGCAGAAGGTAAATAGAAATGCGTTTGCTACCTGAACACGATAATACTGGCTACACAAAACCAGCCACCAGAGCACTGACTATCAGTAACCAGCTGTCAGTAAGTAGCCCGGAGGCCGAAACGCGTGCCCGCTGGGCCTCCCAGCCTCACGCACGGGGACAGCCCTTCCTGCAGCCCCGCGCTCCCGCACAGCCCTCCCGGCGCCACAGCCCGCGCTCCCACAGCCGCCCGCGCTCCCACAGCATCCCGCTCAGGCCCAGCCCCACACCCAGCACAGAAACACAGCGCCACGGACTTCTCTAGACGTGGGAAACCTCACAAGGAGGAGACTGGGCACCTGCTGCACTTCTCAGACAAGATGTCTTTAGAGAGGGGTCTTCAGAATTACCTGCACCAGCATCCCCGGGGTGGGAAAGCAGGGCACAGCCTGAGCTGAGCGTGGGGTACTGAGAAGCAGGGCTGGCCATACAGAGGAAGAGCCTGGGACGCGGCTGCTTAGGCTCAAAAAGCTGAGGTATTTACTCAAGTTACACTAGAATAAAGACTTCAGGAGCTGATGAAAGGATTTCCTCCAGAGCAAAAACATTTAATCCTTATTTATTATTTCTCCTGTAGTAGCACTTCCAAATGCCAGCTATGAACTCTTGTCCTACTGTGCCAGCTGCGGCCTGCAACAGATCATCCTCAGTGTCATTATATTTTACAAACTATCTCTCTGTGTCACTTAACATATAGAAAATCTTTAAAAACCTGTAAAAGTTGATAAATCCTAGATCGCCTTGAACTCTGAGTGATAAATCTGCTCTGGGGCAGGCAAAGAGCTCAGCACAATGTTTATGCGTCTCCCAAGCCCTCTTCTAAGAGCTTAAATGGCTCTCAAGTTCTGCATCAGCCCCGTGCTGGCCTTCTGCATAAAGGTGAATTTCATGGAAAGAATAAAAGAGAACCCCAGAATCCTGGCCTTCAGCCCATCTTTCAATAAAACAATTTTGAATATCCTAGGCTGTGTTAAAGCCATTTCTGGGTGCGTATTGGCTGCATTGCCAGTATCTGACTCATTAATGGAATATACTTTGAGCCAAATTCTGATCTCATTTACAGCACTGTAAATCCAGGGCAACCCAATTGACTTCAGTGGAGTTACTCCAAATTTCCCACAATACGCACTCAGCAGATAGATCAAAATTTAGTATTTCATGTCTGAAAAAGGCTGTTACAAACATCCTGTTTGAAATACTGGGGTGGACAGTAAGCTGGAAAGAATGCCAGCATATCCCCTCTGTAGAGCTGCTGAAATATTGTTTATTTTATGTGTCATTCTTCTAACATTGAAACCTTGAGGGGGAATTGTCCACTATTATCAAAATTTTCGTGTACTTATAAAAATAAGAAATTATAGCTGAGTTCCTATATGAAAAATGTGGTGTCTATTGAAAACATGAATTGAAGTGATAAAGAAAAAAAATCATTCGCTTCGAAATTTTTCATGGGAACCAACATTCCTTTTGGTGATGTATCCCTCTCTTCCTGGTCATTTAGAGAGATGAAGATTTTGCTCAGAATGTTGCCTTATTCATTGCACTTATTAAGCAATAAGGTTGTGAGACAACAAATCGTGTTGGCTGATATTTGCAAAACCATCTCAGCCAGCCTTGACACATCCCATTGCTTTTAATAGATACGGGCATCTTGACTTCTCAATTACTTTGAACTCTCCAGCCTCAAATCCTACAGTTTTATCACACAGCTCGCTAAGCTGCTGTTTACCAAAAAAAAAAAAAAAAAAGGGATGCTGAGTAGGATGCTAGGAAATGACTCAGGTAGGGGGTTTCTAGTCTCACCTCAGCATTTCTTTGACTAATCTTTATTCAGAGACAGGATGCAAAGCCGTGCTTGGGTACCACCTGCATAAAGCCATAGGAGAAACTGAGCTCACGTCCCCTAAAGCAGTTGGCAAAAGGAGTTGTGCTCACAGCTAACGTGTCAGCATGTAACTTCTTGATTTAAATGGATTGCACAAGCAATTCAGTTGGCACATGTTCCACTCCTAATAAACAAAATAACAGTTATTGATATATTTAAACAAAAAAAAAAATCAAGGGCTCGGATTGCTAAGGGAAAGCTCGAGACGGACAAAACGAGGCGCTCTTGCTTTCTTCCTCACGCAGCAGCAGGTTAATGAGAAAACAAGGGCTGGGCGAGAGCCCTGTCAAATTCCCAAACAGCCTGCATCCATGTACACTCACACTTCATTAGCATCTCTGCAGGAGACGGAAGGGCAACTTGGAAGACCAAAAAACAATTAGGAGGGGGTTCAAGAGGTAAGATGAAAGAAGAGTAGAACTATTAGGGAAGAACTCGGAAGAATGGTGCATCCGGGAGATCTTAGCACTGGAAGATCAAGGAACCCAGACAGGGTAAAGAAATATGCTGAGGCTCCAATCTTTTCAGGAAGAAGTGGCCTGCTTGGCCGTAGTCCACCTGCAGAAAGAGGCATTTCTGGACTGCTGTTTATTTTTGAAAACTCTGCTTGTTTATCATGCAAGTTAGTGCTGAAGGTTTTCCTTGTGCAATTTAACTGTGAAGTTAGAGCAAGGGTGGCGGGGACCTTTGGCATCTTTGAGTAGGATGCTCCTTCTTCCTTATTTATCCAGGAGGATAAACAACAGCGCCTGCCTCTTTGTGTCAGGGATGCTTACAGGGTGCAACATGCTGATGTTTGTCCTCGTGCAGAACTGCAGCTCACTGCTGAGCCAGTCGGCTTAGTCCTGCACTAGCTGTACTGCCTCTGGTCCTTAATTTACTTTGCACTCCTGCTCAGCTCAGTGTGACATCTCCAGAAATCTTATCAACCCAATTTTAATATAGATAATTAACTGCACTGAGACTTTGGACAGAGTGGCTCTGCATGAACCTCGCAGCAAACAGTGGGGGGAATTACTGGCAACACAGTGGGCACAGAACCAGGCTGGTGAAGCTGGCAGGGACAAGTAGGGTTTGATTTTAATACACTGCCACTTCTGAACTAATAGAGCGAAATACAAGTGACATTGTATGCCAAACTGGCACATGACAACTATACTTCATGCCCTGGCTGGATATTTCAAGGTGATGTCAGATTATATATTATAAAACTGCCATTTGCAAAGCATTTGTCCCCAAATCCCAAGCATGGTCCACAGATACCAGTTGGTCCCATGCAGCAGTCCTGCTCTCCCTGGCATCACCCAGGGGCCCTGAGAGCAGAAGTTCCCTGGTACACAGGATTATTCCCTGAGCTGCACCGTTGTGTAAAGCCACAAGGACCTGAGGGAACAACTAACAAACTTCTCCTCAGAAACAGTACGTACACTCATGGCAGCCAGTGCCGAATGCTATCACCGCTTGAAAAAGCAGGAGGGGAACTCAAGTAGTAAGCCAAGCTGAAACTGGCCTTTCCCTCTAACTTCTCTATTCCTTCTGCAACCACCAGATCACAAGACAGTGCTGACTTTGCAGCGCATTTATTAAGTGTACAAGTTACTCTCCTCTTACAAGCCGTTCCATGAAATCCCAAAATCACAGGCGCTCAGGCCTGGACTTCCCATCTTGTTGCAGAACAATGTTATTATCACTGCAGAGTGTCTCTGAGGACAGCAGAAAAATAGTTTGTTCAGAAATACTCTGCTGAGTTGATAAAACACTGCTGTCTTACCACATCTCTGAGTCTAACCCAGTTTACTGCACTGTCAGTTGTGCTCTGAGACACTGCAGATAATCAGATACCTCCACTGGTGTGAGCAAATCACTCTTCAGGATGAATAGAAAAGATTCTTAATGGCAAATATAACTCAGAAACTGAGTGTACATGCTAAATTTAATTATTCTGGGGTAGCACTGTATTTTCACCTGCAGCTTGGTCAGTTGTGCCTTAGGAGCTCGCCAGGAGTTTGGACAGGTGAGTCCGCTGTACGTAGGCGCAACCAAGAGACTGTTACCAGCTTGTTCTTCTCCCACATCTGGCCTCTTTATCCCTGAAACTGCTTCCCATCAGACACAAGGATCTTCTTTTCAGAGACTTACATTTGTATTTGTGTACACGAGGCCGCAAAGCATTTGGAGGCAGCTCAGCACATCGTGTCTGCAGCAGCCTTTGAAGCTGCTAGGAAGGACTGTGCGTGCTGAAGGAGCTCACCTCGGTTCTGTTGAGGATGATGCTCTGCTTTTCTATAGTGTCCTTATCAAAGCAATTTATAAGCAACTGGTTATTGTTGGGCCTGAAGTGCAGAAAGCCAGACGGAAGTGAGGGCTCCACAGAGTCAACAGTAGAAGAGACTGGGGAAAAAAACGAAGTATCTGCCTAACCAATGCTACACAAACCTTCACAAAAGCTAAAAAACGAGCTTCGGCCTGGTGGGATCACCAGGAAATCTGGGCTGAGTGTGTGCAAGGATCCACGGGGCCAGCAAACGGGCTCTCTCTGCCAGCCCTTCTCACCTGCCACCCTCTCTACACAGGATGAAGACCCAGACTGGGCAGGAAGGAAATCCCCAGGCTTGTTAGAAAGAAAAGGACACTTGAGACACTACATAAGGGAGATCACCACAGTTTCCCCTTGGATTTTTACTTCTTTTGAGCTCAGAGGGGCAAGCAAGTCAGACGGGTGGGTTTGGGTTTGCTTCCAAACACTAGAATCAAACTTGCCACAAACTGATGGGGAGGGAAAGAAGATCTCTAAGTTCTGCTCCTGACCACAGCACCACATCTCAAACTGCTGCCCCACACCACTGACACCACCTCTCCAAGGGCTTTGCTGGGCACAGCTCTGCAGACACCATCCCAGAGCCTTATGCCTCTGAGCTGATGATTTTACAGAAACTGAGGCTCTGATTCAACAAAAAACCAGTTCTGTTTTCAAAGAAAGCCTTCCAAAGGTAACCAGCTGAACCTCCTGACAGACGGAGCAGCTGTGGCTCAGACAGACAGATGACAACAATGCCCACCCCCATCACCAGTGCATACACACACGCATGCTGCAAACAAACATATCTGCTGGAAAACCTTATTTTAAAACACTCTTAATAACCATACTTTCTCTCCACACTATACATATGTATTTAATGGTGTATCATGCACCTGAAAAGCATGCAAGACATTTTGCAACATAAGACCTGATTCCTGACAGCCAAGGTCTGACCCAAAAGTTGCAAACAGCTCTGCTAAGCTGAAATTGTACAAGGTCAGCCCAGTATTGGTGGCATTTTTCAACTCATTTTAAGCTCTTGTCTAAACCCTGTCTGAGCTGGTGGGATATGAGTGCATGCTGAAAGTTAAGACGTGCACTTAAGGTCTTTCCTGAACACTGACAGACATTGGGTGACATTCAGAAACATAATTTAAAGCACCAAAATTAGGAGCCCTTGCTCCTCATGCCTGTGGGGAGAAATCCATGTCCCAAAGAGCACTTCAGACCACGCAAAATTCCTGAGGTGACCCCATGTATGCTCAGAATCCCTGCAAGCTCCCAGGGCTGAGGGTGCAGAGCTGTCCCCATCAGTCCAGGCAGTGTCACCAGGATGACAACGAGGGTTACAGGATCAGGTGTCCCATCTCCCTGCTGCTGGTTTGCTTGGTGCTCCTGGAGCACAGTGGGGGCTCTAGGAGCCAGCAGTAACTGGGCTTGGATGCTTTTCCCTGGCTGGTGGCTTGGGATTCCCCCTGGAGAAAGCCTCCAGCACTGGGCAAGTCATTATCCAAAACACAGAGCCAGGCACAGTCAGCCAAAGTCCTAGGCTGGCCCGCTGGGTGGTCATGTGAGGACATCCCACCACCCAGGGACCCTGGTGATGGGTGCCCTGCAGCACCCGTGGGTCTAAAGCCCACCGGGGGGTGGCAGGACACAGGGGAAGTTCCTCCCCTCACAAAAGGGCTGGAGGCTTGGCAGGCACGGGTGTGCGGGGCAAGCATCCTCCATCTCCCAGGGCCGGCAGTCGGGGCGACGCGGGACCTACTCCAATCCCCCCAAGCCACGCTGTGCTGCTGCCGCTGGCCCACGGGGGCCACGGGCTCACCCAGTGCGGGCACGGAGCTGCAACTGTCCCATGAGAGCACGGATGGCCCGGGCGGAGGGGAGGCACAGGGCTGGAAGCCGTCAAAGTTTGGGGAACGAGAAAGGGGGCGTTTGGGGAGTCCTGGGAAAGGGGAAGTTGAGAGGAGAGGAGAGGAGAGGAGAGGAGAGGAGAGGAGAGGAGAGAAGATAAGAGAAGAGAAGAGAAGAGAAGAGAAGAGAA